CGATCCTGATCCCTTGGAGAAGACTATGCTCTTGGGTTTATGTGACTTTCTAATTAAACAGACCTTTTCAGTCACTGCATTCGAATATTTTTCAAATTAACTTGTGAAATGTGTTAGAAATAGATTGCTTTTGCTTAAAGACTCTCTTCATTTTGCATCTTGCTACATCAGTAGTTTTGTAAGTGTTTGTGAATACGACTGCAGTTCTCTTTCTCTTTTTGAGTTCTGGAAAGGATGGCAACCAATTTAAGTTATGATTTTTATGACTAATTTAAAGTAGGAAATGGAATTTCTTCATTGGTAAGTAATAATAAAATACAACCATTTTGGTACCTGACAGTTCCAGTAGTACAGTGTGAATGCATGTGTGTGTGTTTTTAACAAGAAGCCCTCTTTGAATGCAGGAATAGTGGTTATTTCTGTGTCCTGACTGGTAACTTCCTCAAAGTGGAATGTCTATATTTAATATAGATGGGATTGAAAATTAAATATTGTCTCCACATTTTATTTTGCGTTGTTTGAACTTGATGCATCACAAGAAGTGCTTGGCTTTTGGTATTCACATCTACACGGCCTGCAGAGCAAGAGCTCTTCATGTGTAAAGAGTGATTCTTAGAAGAAACTTAGAAGTTCCAGTAAAAATGGTACTTACCAGTCAAATTGTATAATGGAACCTGCAAACATGATCACATAATTGGTGACTTCATTAGTGCTACTCTGCTCAGTTTGTTGTTGCTGAGGGAAGGGATGTAAGAAAATCCTATGTGTTTCCATGAAATTTCAAGATCTCAGATGTGTGTTCTTTGCTACTCAGATTTTATCTACATATATATATATTTTTTTTTAATTACAGTATACATGTGGGAGAGGTGTTTTGGTTTTTTTTGTCATGCACATTGATTTTGAGACATTTCTACAAAAATCATTGATGTTTTGCCCTCAGTTACACCACAGCTGTCATACTGTCTCAGATAAGACTTTAACATGCTCAGTTACATGTCCAGGAGCTTCACAGACAGCATTTTGGAGTCTTTCATACTTATCCTCTTTGGATTTTGGTGCAGTACTCTGAAGGTAAACCCAAAGTCACTTTCGTGTTGCAACCTGGTAAACATCTTAAATATGAGAGAAGGGTGGCATTAGACATGGAAAGCTTAGAGAATGTGAGACCTTACAGTGGCCTTCCAGTGTCTGAAAGGGCCTACAGCTGGGGAGGGACTTGTTAAAAGAGCACCTAGCAATAGGAATGGCTTTAAACTGGAAGAGGGTAGATTTATTAGACATTAGGAAGGAATTCTTTCCTGTGAGGATGGTGAGACACTGGAACAGGTTGCCCATGGAAGCTGTGGATTTCTCTGACCGGGAAGTGTTCAAAGAGTGATTGGATAGGGCTTTGACCAACCTGGTTTAGTGGGAGAGGGGCCCCATGGCAGAGGGTTTGGAACTAGGTGATCTTTGAAGTCCCTTCCAACCAAACCATTGTATGATTCTAATTCAATAACTTTTCTGTCAGTGAAGCTCTAACCTCCACAGTGTTTCCTACTGCTCATGGATGATTCTGGTATTTATGTATTAATATATTTATATATTAATGATGAATTAACCATTCTGATAGTTATGACTGCCAGTTTCTCTCAGCTGTGTACCTAACAATAGAAGAACAAGACTATTTTCTGAATAACTGGAAAGTGCAGAATGAACAAATTAGCACAATAATGTAAATCCGGTCTTGAGCAAGATAATATATGCCTAGAAAAAAGTAGAGATTTTTCTGCTTATATGAGATTTCTTTTTAGCTCATTAGCAAGTTTTTTTATTTCTCTACTGCAGTCTACCTCAAAGATTTTTAAGCACGTCCAAAACCTCAAGAAAATTCTTTTAATTTCTCCTTTGATTTAATTTTGTTTTCGTTTGTTTGAAAATAAACTAAAACTTTCCCCATACCCCAGTGTCCTCTACTAAATGAAAGGGTAGATATGACATAACTGTAGGAATTGGCTTAAAGGTAGAAACTGTGGGAGTTCTCTGAAATTAAAACTATTTATTGGTTTCAACAAAACATGTAATTTAATAATTTAAACATAAATTCTCAGAACTTATGTTAACTCACATAAATTAAAATTTTACTAGAGACTAAGGTAGTTAAATTCTGCCGTTTTCTGGTTTCAAGACCTGCATGTTACCTAATGATACACTGATTTCACTGTAACTTTCATGTATGTATATTTCCCTTTTCTGTTAAACTTTGCTGTAGTAAGATAAAGTATCTATCATTCCATACTGAATTCATCCAGTATACTGATTCTGCAGTGTTTTCATACAATTTTATAAAAATAATTTTATTCTCACACACTGGCATGAATAAAAGGGTATTTCCCATTGTGCTCTACTACCTGTGGAGTAAAATAGTAAGAACAAGGTGTTTTTTTTCTTATGCCACTTCGAAGGAACTCTTGCATTTTGGTCATTTTTAAAGAATGTGGTATGTAAGTCTTGTCATGTTTGAAAATGAGGAGCCTCTACTTCTTTTCTCCTCAATACCTCGGTGCGTTCACCATTAGTTTTCATAGATATTTAAAGCTTCATAAGTATTAGTAGTTTCTTTGATAAATGTACTCATAGGCTCTTTTCAAAGAAGAAAAGTGTTGGTTTTTTTTCCTGGCAGTAGATTGAGCATTTTTATTTGTGCTTGTTCTGTGGTGTATATTCTGGATCTCTAGCAGCTTAATCCAATTTTGTTACTCATCCACAATTTGAAACCATGTGTAAAAAGGCATTTATTCCACCTAGGGGTAAATTACAGAACTGCTTAGAACTTAAGTAATAAATTAATTATTGATACCTGTTTTCAACAGTGCAATATTTTTATTTTTTTTTTTAATTTTTGTGCTTTATTGAAACATACAGTACAGTATTTATCCCTGAAATAAGCTAGCCTCAGTGAAGGTGTTGGAACAATCCAGTAAATTCTAATTTGTGTCACATTCAGTGCTACCTGTGTGTGCATGTGTGTCTTCAGTTAGACTCAAGTGTCTCTCCACGGTTTGCATGAAGATGCTATTTGTCCTGTTCTCAGAGCAGCTACCTGAGGTTTGCTGGTACTTCTTTCGACGTGCATATCCATGCATAAAATATATCAGTAGCATGTCTCATAATCTTTGATTTTGAAAGATGGAATTGAGGGGAGAAAGGGTGGAGTTAGTTTTCACTTGTACATTTTTTTCCAGGTTATCTTAATTTAACTTGTAAAAAAATAATATAACCTTCATGATTGACTGAGCAAGCTGAAGAAAAAAGGTCTATAGAACCCTGTTTCTGTATTAAAAATAAAAAAGAATCATAAGAAAGTAAATAATATGTGAGAGAGCAGGAAATACATGCCTTTTCCCCACTTCAGATTATTAGAAACATAGAAGTAGTCTAACACAAATGTCTTCTGTTTGCAGAGCCAATGGAGCAAAGCTGCAAATGACTGCGTATGGCATTTTTTCCATTCAAATACTCTAATAGAAAAAAACGTAACACTAATTAATTCAAAGGAAATTGATACTGTCCTCCTGTTTACTAATACCCCATAATAATCATTATTATTGTGCATCTATAAACTTCAAATCAGCTTGTAATACTTTATATCCATTAATTTACTTATGTCTAAAAAATTAATAATCCAATATACCTAATAATATCTATTTGAAGATTATTATATAATTAGTTTAAACTTTTTCATGTACCATCAATTTTTCACTATTGTAATTTATTGCTCTTTACAGAATCTGGAATATATACATTTATATATAAGCATGAAAATTATTTCAAATATGTTGCCTTTTTTGTTTTTTTTTGCACTTGAATTAGCCTCAGTTTGGTTGGCAAGAGACTAACAGTTATAAAGGCTGGTGTTACGTTAATGTGTGTGGTTTATGCTTATTTGTCAATTTTCTTATAGGGAACAAATGGCCACAGAAATGTCAGAAATATTGTCTAGGTAGGTGAGAAGACCACATCAAATGAATCAATTGTTTAATAAAAAGAAATCACACATTAAATAGGTTGAATTATTATGGAATAAAACATAATGGAATCTAATTGGGGTTTTTTAAGTGCCAAGCGGATAAGTAAATAATTTATTTCAAATAACATTTTCTTTATCAACACCTTCTTTTCAGCAATTATTTTTATTGCATTTCAAAATGCAATGCTTCTTACTGCATGCTTGCTTAACTATGTTTTTTTGCTTTATATGCTGAAAACTTTTTACTTGAGATTGATTTACTTCTTTTTTTTAAGGCTGAAATTGCTGTTAATGATACGTAACTTTGTCAGACTGAGTGGTGGTGACTGATTGTCAAGTGTTGATGCTCTTCTTCCTGCCAGACTGTTGAGCTTAAAGTCATGTAGAAAACAGAAGAGCGCAGAGTGCAGAGGAATACTGCAATGGAAAGCTAAGCCATTCAATTGGATTAGCACTCTTAAAGATTACTAGTTTAACCAGAGATTTTACAGCCTCGTTCTGCTGCTCCAAATTATGAAGCAAACTCTTAGAGTGGTGGGTAGTGTTGCTAAATAAGGAAAATCCTTAGGATTTCTCCAATTAGATTCAAGAAGGTTAGACACCAGGCAGCGGAAGTTACATTTAGCAGCAATCCTTGAACGTCCTACAGGTGTGCCAATTATAGACAAATAACAACATTTATATTTTGAAGGAGACTTTCTGTGTAACAATTTGGTTTGCAATTATGAGTTGTGCTAAGTGTGAGGAAAAGTTTCTGTCCGTTAGCTATATGCTATTTAAAAGTCAAAGAGGCAATTTTTTATATCAGACTTCTCACACACCATAAAGGGAAGCTGTGTTGACTCAGATGAGTAGCATGAGTAGGCATAATTAAGCTGATGCTGCAATAAACAGTAACATTCAGTAGTTTTAATTACAATGAAGAGATGGTTCAGTTGCTATTAAGCATAACATTTGGTTAAACAGATTGTTTCATTTTGTGAAACTTAAAAATAAATTGCATTTGTTATCTCTGCTTTCAGAACTGCTATAGCTGCATAGAGAAATTTTTCACAGAAAATGTGTTTATAACTCATTAAGTAAAAAGCGAAAAAAAACCAACATAAAACTTCACAGTCCCACATAAGACCTTTAATGAGAAACAAAGTTTGAAATACCATTCACTGGATTATAAATATTGTAATAATGTATCAGTCCCACAAAGGTATTGCTGCAAAACCAGTCTTAAATGAAAAGGCCTGTTTTTGAGGGGTTTTTTTGTTCGTCTTGTTTTTCTCTTGTGAATATTTAATAGAACATACTGCAACAACTATTTTGCTACCCTGATAAAAATCTAGTTTCTTCTGCAAAATCCTCTGAGATTGTGAATGATAATTCGATTTCCCTCTTGGTCTTAGTCAGGGACATTGGCAGAGGTTGGTAAAATCTGTTTTTGAATTCCTTAGTGTTTAAAAAGTACTCTTGATTGTCACTGAACTTTGAAGTGTTTTGAATATCCAAACAAAACATGGGAAGTTTGCTGTTCCTAAGGGAGACATCTTTCACTTCTTATCCATATAATTGTAAAGAAAAACAAATACTCATTTTTTTTCAGGTTTATCTTTACACATACACATGTAATGTTTGTTTGTTTGTTACATGGGTAACTTTATACATACTGTTGAAGATGTTTTTATACTGGTCAGCCTTTCTTCTGAGGGTGATCTTTTTTTTGTGTCGTATCTCTTTAATATTTTGGGTTTGTTTTGGTGTTTTTTTCCCCTTCTTTAGAATATGTATTGCTGTTCTCAGACAAAATTAATATAATATTAATTTGATTTCTTCTCTCAAATTTGACTTTTATCAAAGGCGTGCAATATTTTCTCTACTCTTGAAACAAGGATTTTGTCCTAATGCAGTTTTAAGCAGAAGAGGAAGCGCCTTTTCTCCCTTTTTGTCTACCTCAGCAATGGTTTTCCTTGTTTGTTTTTTAAAATAGAATTATGACTACTCTTTGTTTTCTGTGTTCTGCATCTTGACCAAGGAAAATGTACATCAGCACGGGTGAGGTACTTAGGAGGAGAATTAGCATCTTTTCACACGTAATTTCTAACTGTGAATGACAATTCCTTTTAATCTCTAGGCAGCCAATCAGATGCGACTTTGGACGCAAAAGGTGCTTTCACTTTTTCTTAATCATTTGAACATACTGAACATAATATGTTACTTGCCCTTTGAATTTAATCCCTCTGCTGCTGATTTTCATTCTAATACGTGTGCTGCGGTGTTGATCGTAGGATCTGTTCCTCCTGTTGTAACAATTCCTGTTTCCTGCTTGAAAAAATACATACATATTTTTAAAATAATCGTAGGGGTCCTGCGGTTCAAGCCACAAAAGCTGCTGCTGGAACTAAGAAGCATGATCTCAGTAAGTGGAAATACGCAGAGCTTCGCGATACAATCAATACCTCTTGTGGTAAGTTGTTGGGTTTTTTTCTGTTTTCTGATTTGAGGAAGAAGTCAAGTTGTAGTCGTATGAAAGGTGTTACTCTCTTCCTGTGACAAAGATAAACACTTGCTCATAAATTTCTTCAGGTTTGAAACAATGTAAAAATAATTTTTAAACGTTCTATTACCCCAAAAAGAAAAGTGAATGAAGCTATTTCCATGTTGAGGACAGAGAATTTCCTTTTTTTTCCCTCTTTTAGTTATATTTACGATGCTAAACTCCTTGGGCCATAAAATACATAATTTCTTAATTAAATTGTCTCAGTGTTATGTATTTCCACTAAGGGTATAATAGTTATTATTCTTTAGAATAATTATTATTCTTTAGAATTTCTGTGTTCTGCAAATTTTTTTTCTCTCACTTCTTGCTGTCACTAAATCACAAAAAAGCAACTATGCCATGTAAAGCACATTGTTGAATGTTTTCCTAGGTGTTCAGATTATTTTTTGATTTCAAAATTTGTGACTTAATTTTAGAAGCTCACAGTTAGGACATCAATTAGTTCCACTCCAATGTTATGAAGACTGAAATAGATAATAATTATTCCTTTATTAAATATTACTGTTTCTTCCTCTTTTGATTGAAAACAGTTGGTTAATTTCTTATTTAAGATAAATCAGAATATATCCCTGGAGGTAGAAATTGGAAGCAAACCCATTCTCTCTATTTGTATTTAAACCCCGAAGTTAGCTCCAAATTCTAATTGTGTCTCTGTTGTTTCTGCATATGCAAGACTGGGGCAAAGCTTTCAGCTGAATAGGTGGTGCAGTAATATGTGGTGCTAATGTATGTTCATCCCTAGTGAAGCCACTTTGGATACTCTTAGATGACTTGCAGGAAAGCCTTACAATTTTTCAGCCTCTTAGTATCATGAAATTCAAGAAAATAAAATATATTTTATAAAGAGGAAAAAGAACCTATATCTGAGCAGTCGAGTTGCTAATTTTCCCTTTTTTTCAGTTGCAAAAATAAAGTTCAGCTGTGGAATTTTATCTGTTTCTGTACTGCTTGGCTTGTGATAATGTCAACAGCCAAATTTAGCAAAGTGAAAATAGTGAACATTTCATCTTGTAGCATTTCACTGCTCCAAATCCCACAATAGAACAGCTACTGCAGGGTCTGCCATTCTTCTCAAGGAGAAAAAGATATAAAGCACTCAGAGAACTTTCTGGGCCATAAACTACAGGCCCTGTTGGTGTAGAGAATGAGGCTTTGGTATATTCTCTTCCATTCTGTTCTATTTGTGTTAACAACATGATGTAAAATTACTTACCTATCAATGTAGAAAAGCAGTTAATAAATAATTTTCCTGATTTTCTCATTAACCCCATCTTTCATCATTTTTGAGACAGATTTGGAACTGTTGGCAGCTTGCAGAGAAGAGTTTCACAGAAGGCTAAAGGTCTATCATGCTTGGAAATCCAAGAATAAGAAACGAAATGCGGAAACAGAACAACGTGCTCCCAAGTCAGTCACAGACTATGGTGAGGAGAAATAATTTTGTGTTTATAATAATTTTGGTGACAATATCCTAAGGAAAACGTATCTAGAATGAATTTTGGTTTTGCTAGGTTGAAAGAAATTCTTCTATTTTTAAAGAATATTTTTTATATTGATTTAGGGTAAATGCTTTGAAAAGATTGGAACTGGCAAATACTTTGCAGAAAATAGAATAGGAAATGCAGATACATGTACTGAATAGCTCTCCTTAAAACCTTTTCTCATACCAGCTTAGAGTTAGTACCAACTTAAAAATAGTTGTTGATTTGGTATTGGCAGTTGCTGGTATTTTTGCTAAGTGTTGGTTGGTGTGTTGCTTAGGATTGAGGAAGATAATTTCCCATTTCTGAAACGGCGATTTGTATTTTGAGACTTTTGAAATCCTGCTTTTACGGTTGTTCATACTAGTTTTGACCTCTGTAAATGCAAATGTTTTCTGAGAGCAGTTAGTGATAGTTCAACACAGAGCATTATACCTAAGGGTAGAAGAGAGATTCTAGAAATAGTTCTCAAGTAGTCTATCAGACAATTGCATTAGGCTTTTTTTGATGCTGTAAAAAGAAAGATTACAAGGAATCATTTGTTGCATAATTCACTATTACCTTTGAGGTCCAGACAAAATAAGAAGTATGGATGACAAGGTTTTTTTTTTATCTCATACTTTTATTCTTCCCTAAGATACAGATGTATAGCCCTAGATGTAGATACTTTTGAAAGGTGCTAGTAATTTCCTCATTTACATCACTGAAGGTTGTGCATATTTCAGGTTACATTCTTTTAAAAAAAAATTCTAAGAGCATTGATATTGCAGTTTTTGGTGGTGGGATGACAGATACTGTGTAGTCCTTGTTTTCTCATTAGACTGTCATTCTCCTGATTTCACAGATGGGTATTTATTGCCTTTTAAATTAAATAGGGAGGTGTAGGAGTTACAATGTTTAACATTGCCAGATCTGAAAATTAGGTGGCCAGTTTCTAGAGTGATATTGACAGAGTGGATTGTTATTCTTCTCGTCTCCCTTGAATCCAGTGATTGTTATAAAAGGAATCAAAGAAATTAACAGAATCACAGCAAAGGCTTTGTCTCAAGGATGGTAGGGTATTACTCCACCCATCTGTTTCTCTTCCACAATCCGGGATACTCTGTAATCTTTCCCCTTCCTCTTTCAGCTCAGCCACTAGGCTGAGTAAATCATTCACCTGGTCACGCGTACGCAGGTGGCCTCTCTGATATCCCCTGATATGACTGACAGGCTGAGACATTCTGTGCAGCCAGAGACCTGGACAGCTGCATTCTTGAGAGGCACCTCTGCGTTGCCACTGTCCTCCTGGCAGTGGTTTTCACCTGAGTAGATACCATGGCTAGGTCCTCTCTGGGGGTGTGTGTGTGTGAAGATCACTAGCTGAGCTCTTACCTTGAGCCAAGAGGGGGCCAGTGCCTTGTTCCGCACACCCTGCCTGCGTGAACTGCCGCGCCAGGCCCTGTTTGCTGCTCCTGGTTGTGGTGCTCCCCAGGGGCTGCTCTTCCACCTGAGGGGGTCAGGCTGCCGTCCCTTTGCCCACTGTGAGTCAGAGCTGCTGCTCCCCAGAAGCTCTCACTCCCCACCCAGGGGCACGGACTGGGACTGACTCCTTCCCACTCTCTCAATTTCTTTCTCTCACCTTCTCTTCCTCGGTTTTGCCAAGGGTTTGGTGTCTGGGGACAACTGTTCTGGGGCGCCATTCAATTATGTAGTTCTCGCCTCAGTGGCTTCACTGGAATGGTGAAATGGGTCCTTGTGGCCATGCCTAGTAATGTGGTTCTAAGTCCTTAGGAGAGGTTCTGACTGAAACAGCAGGAAAAGGCATTTGAAGCACTTCTGCAAAGTGGTGGGTTGCTTTGAATTTGAGGTTGCATGTTCTGTCAGGAGCTAAGTGGGTAAAATAAATATTCATGCTCAGTATTGCTTATGGGAAGTATGAAAGTGCAGAAAATCTTTGGGTTTGTGCAAGTTATGCTTGGAATATTCACAATCTCTTCAAATTTAGTTAAACATTTACAGCATTATTTTCAGTGTTTTTCATTAGATTTTTTTACTTTTCTTGAAATGTGGCTTCTCATTTCTGAAGAAAAGTTAGGACATCGCAGTTCAGAATAAAGGCACCAATGGTGACATTTAAGGACTTGTCAGTATCAGAAGTAATTTTTCCTATTGCAAATAATTAAACTATACAGGAATTTCACATCTATGTATCGTAATGATCTGAGAAGATACTAAGAGGGAACTCTGATTTCTTAGATGTTTAAGCTTAAAGTCGTTCGGGTGTCACTGAGTATTTGATTTAAATGATGTAGTATCTCCTTTTTGTCTTTTCACCAATGTTATATGATTTTACAGGTATCCTTTAATTAAAATGATACATTCAGTATAGAAGGTAAACTGTGGTTTGATTATTATTATTGGAGTAGGCAAATCTGGTATCAATAGAAATCAATGTCAAAATGGAAATGTCAAAAATAAAAAATAAAAAAGTAATTAATGAGCAGATTTGTTACAGCAATCTATGCTCAGCATGTATACAACTGAAGTTCTGTAGCAGGTATTGCAAATTATTGAAGTAATCTATTTCAAAATTAAATCCTGATGAAAATAGAAGCAGTTGGAAATCTATGAAACTGGAAGAAAGGAGACATTTCATATGTGTCAGTAAGCAGAAAAATCATAGAATCATAGATTAATAGGAATACTTAGCTCAACATCTGGGTTTATTGTGTAACTTGATTTTCTTTTTGTGTATCATCAGCATTGGTGAAAATGTTGGGGTAATTAAACTATAATTTGTAAAGGATCAGCACTTTGATGTTGTGTTCAACATGTAATATTTGTTCACAGATTTTGCACCATTTTTGAGCAACTCACGTAAGTGGGGAGATGGCTATTTAAGCTAACTTTGAAGAATAGGAACACTGAGAGCTCTATACTAACTAATTAATCCAGTGTTTTGCTACACGGGTACATAGAATTTATTGTTAAAAAAATCTATTTTACCATTTGGCAGTTATTGAACAGATGGTGATTATCTGTTAATCTAGTAATATGTACATGTATTTTACTGCTTATTTTCATGAGATGCTACCCATTTGAGCTGTCATGGGAAGGGAGAACAACTTAACTTTTTAATGTAGTTTAAGGTATAATCTATTTTTTCCTTTTTTTCCCCTCCCCACTGCCTCTCCTCCCTTTTCCCCTCCCCAAGAAATACCATGTTTATTATAGCATTTTTTACTCTTCACATGACTCTGTTGTAGCAAAACTCTGGAATCAGCTTAATATAACAGCTATTTTCCTGCCACAAAAACTAACATTCAGGTGATGGTTTCTTTTGAATAAAGAACTACAATTCTGTATCACTGAAAAGTAGAGGCTATATTGGCTGCTTAGTATTCCTGTCCTCTAGATTTCCTCTTGGATTTAGGTATGCATAGGTGTAGAAATACGCCTTAGCAGTTACCATGCAGTGCAAAATGTATTTGACAAAACTAAAGCACTAATCTGCTGTGACAAATGCTGAAGCAACTTGCAGAAATTATAATTAATTTAGTATAAACTGTAGACTAAATATCCCTGTAAAATGTCTTTTGTCAGAGTTGATGTATAAAAGTAGAATTCACCTATTAAAATCTTCTGGTTGTCTTCCTTGTGTTTATGTAGACGTGGAAAAAATTGGGGGTATGATTTGTACAGTACATATTTTTTTAAGATTCTTCACATTTAGAAAAAATCTGAGTAGTCTTGTTCATAACTATAAAAATACATCATTAGAAGTGATTGTCATTTTTCATTTATTTAATTTCAGCTCAAAAATTAGCTTTGCTGCTGAAGAGACAATGGACAAAAACAAAGAATTAACTTTTAATTATTCCCTTTATAGTGAGACATGGAACTATTAATACTGATTTTCTTCTGTAGCGGTGGCGTAGAAATTCAGAATTTCTGAAACAGTATTTTTCACACTGGTTTTGTAAAACACTAAAACAAGATCAGTAACAAGCAGTAAATGCAGTTATTAAAGGGAAGAGTCTTGCTTGTAAGAGCATGTCCTATTTAAAACTAAATATGACAGTGTATACATAACACAAAGTTCATCAGCTGATGAGTTAACTGTTAAGTTAGAGATTATTTGTTTATAACTGATGGGTTAGAGAATATTTGCTTTTATTCAGGAGTCCAAAAATGCATATGGGAGATATTTAGCAACAAAAAATAAATATATGAAACTTTAAAGATTTTATGTAATTATCTCCTCTCCAAGTTTGGTCTGTAGATCTTAAAGGTCTGAAATAAACAATGTCTTAAAAAAAGATAGCAGACTTAGAGTAATTCTAATAATAGAATCATAGAATCATTACGTTGGAAAAGACCTTCCAGATCATTGAGTTCAACCGTAATCCAACTACCACAACCACTAAACTATATCCTGAAATACCACGTGCTTCTTGAACTCCTCCAGGGATGGTGCCTCCACCACCCCCCTTGGGCAGCCCATTCCAATGCCTCACCACTCTTTCAGTAAAGAATGCTTTCCTGATATCCAACCTAAACTTCCCCTAGCACAAATTAAACCCGTTTCTTCTCATCCTAATGCTGGTTACTTGGGGAAGAGACCAACACTGGCTTCCCTTCAGGTAGCTGTAGAAAGCAGTAAGATCTCCCCTGAGCCTTCTCTTCTTCAGATTAAACAACCCTAGTTCCCTTACCCACTCCTTGTATGAAATGCCCTCCAAACCCCTCACCAGTCTCGTTGCTCTTCTCTGGACGTTGCTTCAGGACCTCAATGTCTTTCTTATGCTGTGGTATGCCCAGAATTGAACATGGTACTCAAGCTGTGGCCTTACCAGGGCCGAGTACAGGGGCACAATCACTTCCCTACTCCTGCTGGACAGTGTATTTGATACAGGCCAGGATGCCATTGGCCTTCTTGGCCACCTTGGCACACTCCTGGCTCATGTTCAGCTGGTCATCCACCAGTACTCCCAGATCCTTTTTCACCAGGCTGCTTTCCAGCCACTCTTCCCCGAGCCTGTAGCATTGCTTGGGGTTATTGTGGCCAAAGTGCAGGACCTGGCACTTGGTCTTGTTAAACCTCATCCCATTGACCTCAGCCCGTCAATCTGACCTGTCCAGATCTCTCTGCAGAGCCTTCCTACACTCGAGCAAATCAACACTCCCACTCAATTTAGTGTGGTCTGCAAACTTGCTGGAGTTTAGCACACAGGAATCTAGGCAGAAAGTTATGCTTAGTGACAGCTTCGTAAGTGATGTTTGTTGTCAACATTTCTTTTAACAATTTGTTCATTTCTGACAGTATTACACACCCTTCTGTGTCTCCTGTCAAAAATCTTCAAGTGGTGCTTTATATTTTTGTAACTGAAAATGCTCCTTTGTGCTGTGACCTTGTTTCACAAAGAAATGGACTGAACTAGGGCACTTACTGATTATTTTAAGCACTTTATTTTGTCTAAATGTACCTAAATGAGTCCATTGAGCAACTTTCGTATAGATACAATAGTTACGATGAACCTTTCCTCACCGTAGTGATTAATAGAATGCACATGATATGAGACAGAAATACTTTTTAGGTTTGATGAGACTTCAGATGACTTTGTATTCAAAGAGAATCTCCAAGGTTTTTGGGGTTTGGTTTGGTTTACTTATTTTTCTTTGATGCATTTGTTTTGCTTTTTACTTTGCTGATTAATTGAGGAAGTCCTAATACATTTTTCTTGTTTTCTATTTTTTGTTTGCTTGTTTTTTGGGTTTTTTTGAATGATAGCTCAACAGAATCCAACAACCCAGCTACCAGCCAGACAACAAGAGATTGAAATGAACAGACAGCAGCGTTACTTCCGCATTCCCTTCATCCGTCCCGCAGACCAGTACAAAGATCCCCAGAACAAGAAGAAGGGCTGGTGGTATGCTCATTTTGATGGGCCATGGATTGCTCGACAGATGGAACTTCATCCTGACAAAGCACCCATTCTTCTGGTAGCAGGTTGGTATTGAAAGCAACATTCAAATGTTGAAAAGGTTTAGAGTTGATAACTTACTTTAGAAAAGGAGGTTGAGGATACAAGTCATATCCTTTTTTTTTTTTTTGTCAGCAGATCTTGTCTGGGTAGAATTTGAGGATTTGGGACTGCTGTTAATGGTGGCCAAATGTTACAGAATATCATTTGGAGATGTGACTGCTCACCTATTTTACTTGTACATGTACTTTAATCTGGGAAATCATACACAGAGTGGGAATCCAAATATAAATGGTTTTAATGTTAAGTGTTCTCCATTTATTCACTGAACTGGAGTCAGCATGAAGATAAAATACCACAGTTTATCTGGGAAGGTTCTGCTCTTCATTGTATTGGTTTTTAGTTAGCTTTGAAAAATTACAGCAGTGTATATCAAACCAGTTTGCTCATATGGTGTCTTGCCTTTCCATAGTATGGTGCTAATAACAAACATTTGTACTGCTTAGTGTGGGAGAACAGCTTTATAATCATAAACATTTAAAATAAAACCTTAATGTGGCAATGGATTGGTAGAGATTTATTTGGTAATGAAATGTATCATCCTTTCCTGGAGGATAATAAGAGGGGAGAGAACACTGGACAAATGCTGTTTACAGTTCTGGTTTTTTAGGTTTTGTTTTTTACTTGAAGGCTGAGGCAGGGGCCAAAGCCAATGTATTCAGCTCCAGACTGACACTTCATTAGCGACAAAAGTTCCTTGGTTTTCTGCTAATTATTTTAAACATAATTCCTTATACAAACTGTTGCCTGCTCAGTGTCAAAGCCCATAGCTAATAGTAGCATTGCTGTTGTAAATACTACCTTCAATAGTTCACCTATTTAAAAATCAGCTTAGAATACAGCAAGCCAGCTGCACCCATCATTTCATTGGATTCCCTGTGTCAGTCCCATTTGGTAAACACTGTTTGTTTACTATGGGAGGTTGATTGCTTAAGAACACTGACTGCTTGATAAAAAGTCTTGAGTTCTTAGTAACTTTGCTGCAGTTAAACAAACAGTAAGAGTAGTTCACTGTGAAACCATGTAAAACAGGAAGTGTGTGTGTAAAACAAATGTGCTTGTCCTCCTGTAGTGGATTTCACAAGAATATATCAAGATGCTGAACTCTTTTACTTCTTCCTGTTGTTTCTTTTTGCTCACTTTTTAAGCACAATTTTGTCAGTTGCAACATCTGATACTAGTTTATTCCAATCCTGCTTGTCTAGTCTGTGTGTAAAAAGACAAAAACCTTTTGAAGTCTGTTAACAAACTGGAGCTCGAGGGAGGAAATCAAATCAGCAAAGATCTAACCTTTGTTAACGGTACCTTGGAAGGGATGTAAAAGCTTGATAGAGACTTTTCTCTTTCCCCTTTGCCATTTCAGGGAAGGACGATATGGATATGTGTGAGCTGAATCTGGAAGAGACTGGCTTAACGCGAAAGCGAGGGGCTGAAATTTTGCCGAGACAGTTTGAAGAAATTTGGGAGCGCTGTGGGGGGATCCAGTACCTCCAAAATGCAATTGCAAGCAGACAGGCTCGTCCCACGTATGCCACAGCCATGCTGCAGAACCTGCTGAAATAAAAGGTCACTTTGCACAGTAGTGTTGGAGAGGAGAACCCCTGCCCGTGATACAAAGGGAAGAGTTCCTCTGTTCAGCAGAGGATGTAAACATTCTATGAGCATATTAGAGATATTTAATATAAAGTGAACAGATTTTATTAATCATGTGGTTTGTTAATTTGTACTTTATGATGTTCCATTTGTGTGGTGAACTTCACTAGGTATGAAGACCTTGAAGAAATTTCAGTGTAGTTTGTTGCATTTTGTTTATATGTTGCATTTTCTTTAACATTTTCTGTTGTTATTCTTAATACTTTTAAGCAATCTGTCTATACTTGGTTACATATTACAAAGAACTGTATTGCAACCACCTTTTTGTAAAAACCCCTCTTTAAAACACTGAATAGTTGGCTTCAAGTGGTGGCCTAGTAAAGAGGTTATGCTGTTTCTCATAACTGGAATTGTGAGGCCTTAGCTTTGACTTCTCTTCTGGAGAAGTTGGAGTATACTTTTGTATAATCTGAGACATTTTATGTCCTGATTTGAAAACTGGTTAGTGTCTGTATTTACTGACTTTTCAGAAACTGATGAGAAACCCTCCTAGAGACACAAAAGTTCCTATTTAATGCATTCTCTCTTGGTTTAAGATAAATAGTTTTCTGTACATTCTGAGAAGAGCATTTGTGTATGTCAATAGTGAGTAATATTGGAGGTACTCAAGGAATGTACTGCTCAATAGGGCTTCTACCACCTCTCTCTTAGTTTCTTTTTTCTCTTTAAGTATCAGTTACCTTTAGGCTTATTTTTCTGACCAAATTTCCATTAGGAATTCTTGGATGGTTTGTTTATCCAGGTAGTGTAATTTCAATATATTATGCGAAAGTGTCCAAGACTTTTATCTGGAGGCATGTAAGGTTAAGGATAGCATAAGGGAAAGACATTCAGCCTTTTGGTGGCACTGTAGCTTAACTGAGTATTGATGCCTGAGCTTCAGATGTCCTGTTTATTGTAATGAGATGCACAAGGTCTGTACCTTTTGTTAGATTGCATAACAATTTGGTCCAATAACATAACACACCATCTTAATGCTTTGTGCTGATGAAATAGCTGCAATTGTTAGTATACTGGAGTATCACAGTGATGCAGACACTGCGCTTTATCTCCTGTGTCAAGGTTCATAGCTTCTAACAGTTCTCTTATTAAGCTGTTTATTTTGGGAGTTTTTATGGATGGGAATTATTAATTTCATACAATTTTAAGATGCATCTTTTTCACTTATGTGAACATTGTTTCACCATGCTGGCCATTATTTCAACCAGTTAAACTTCATTATTTATTATCTCTTAGATAGGAATTTGAAATAGAAATAGCTTGATGTCCAGTTACTTATTCAAGCTGATTTAAAAATTAAGTCTTGCTCTATGAATTGACAAAGTTTGCTTACACTACAAAATTATTTCCTCTCTGTTTACTCAGTTTGAAACCTCTTGGAACCTTTGGTTTCTAAATGCATAACTGTACCTAAAGAATAACTTTCTAGAGGTACAGTTCTGGAGCACAGAGAAAGCTCACCATGCTTACAGACTTACTGACCTTAGGCTGTGCTTGCATGCCACAGTCTGCTTGTTGTTCTGAATGCACTCCCTACTGTAATACCTGTGGAGACTTTTCAGGAATACATGACCTCTGTGTGCATCTGCTGCCTCAGGGAATCTTGGTGTCCGCTGCATGCCCACTTGATTTTTTGGTCATATGATTGCAAACAAGAGAAATATTTTCATTTTACCCAAACAAATTCTTCACCAAAGCAGTAATATTTGGCTGGAAGAGGAAAGTGCACCAGACTGCTGGCCAGTGAGTTGTGCGCAAACCTTTAGAGCGTTGCATGGGTTTAAAGGTGCTGCTTGTGAAATGCAAATTACTGGTTTCATGTGTTACTGAATTGGAGCCAAACTTTCAGAACTTCCAGTCTCCAGAAACCTAGCACTGCAAGAAGCTATGACTGTTTATGTGATACAAGGAAGAAAAATCACTGATCTTACTGGGCTGAGACGCCCCACCCTATATTTATTACTATATAGATTTAACACAGTCAGTCTCAGTTCATATATATACATATATGTGTGTGCGTATATATATATTTGAAATAGATCTTATAAGACTGAAAATGGTTTAGCAAAGAACCTCAATACTTGTGTATGTATGTATATGCATATATATATATGCTTAAATATTTTTGTATATATATATGTGTAAACATACTTGTAGGGAACTTAAGTAAAATTAACTGAGTTTTTCCAGTCTGCTCCTTTGGTTATGCCAGGATTTCCTCAACTGGCATCAGAAAGAAGGTATATTTTTCAGAATGAGATGCATTGGAATCCTTGGTAACAAAATGATTAACAAATATCATGAAAACAAAACTGACTTTGAAATAGTGGAAGAGGAAGTGGTGGCTGGATGTTCTCAAATAAGATGTTCCCACCTCTCTGCATGGCTCCAGCAGGACACCTGAGGCAAGCAGAAGATGCATTCAAAAAATCAGGGCATGTTAGTTTGCACAGTAGGGTGCTTTTTTGTTTCTCTCTTTCTTTTTTTTTTTCTTTGCACCAAAAGCATAATTTAGTTTTCCTGATCTTTTTGTAGAATTAAATTAATTTTCAATTTGTATCAGATTTATTTTATTTTATTTTTTTTTTTACATCAGGCAATAAATACTCAGCTGCTTAATGATTGTTTCCATTGTCCCATCCACAGGGTCAGGTAATTATACTGTGGTTGATTTGGAGAGGAAATACAAAAAGGGGGGGGTTGATCTGTAGGATTGTAGTATTACCTAGTGCCCTTCTGATCGGTGGTTGTATGTAATTTGTTTTTTAAAGCAAAGTGATGAGGCAAACATATTGGCTTGGTTCTGTGTGTTCATTTTTAAAAAAAATAAAATTTCTGCCTCTGAGTGAAGTTGTCCATTATAGCTGAGATCTTCTGCCTGAAACACTCCAGAAAACAAAGGAAAGAAAGAGAATCACCATGCCAGGTGACATTCCTGACTGTAGGTGACCCAGGAATATGAATTGTCTAGAGAATGCTTCTTCAGGGATTGCAAGGTCATTAAATACTTGTCTTTCCTCCACTGATAAGATTGTTTTTCTTTACCTAGTTGAATCCTTTGGGTTTTTCTCCAAAATCTTTATTTAAAGTATTTAAATGACCTCCTAATACTGTACTGAATATTAAAAAAATAAATACATTCCATGTTGAAATCTCAGTTGTATCTCTCTTAACATTTTGTCTTTAAAGATATAAAGTGTAATAAGTAAGGGTACATTATAAGAAGGATAAAAGGGTTTCTGTCCTGAAACTGCCTAAAGTTTTTCTGGTGATGTTTATGGTGCTGAAAGCTAAAGATTTTGTCTTTAGTATCTAAGGTAAGTGTTCCTTTAAAGGAATATTTTAAGAAATTCTAATTTTTTTATCTTTAAATCAAATGCAGAATTTCTCAGTATTGTTGAAGGAAGTATCTTTTTAACCTTTATTACTACTTTTTTTAACCTTTATTACTACTTTTTTTAACCTTTATTACTGTCACTTCCAAGATATTTGTCATTTGCCATGCTCTGTGCTGTTTGCATCTTTTAGTCGGTGAGAAGTGAAACCACCTAGGATGCTTTGACTTTGTGTGCTCCAGGAAGAGCTTTATACTGGGGGAAAAAGCGTTCTCAAACTTCCCTGTCTTAAGGACCAAATCAGAGTGGTATTTTTAAAATTTAAGATAATTGGAGTATTTCAGCTTTGATATCTAGGAGATACAGCTTTATTTCACTTTCCTTGCTCTTTCATTTCCAACTGTAGCTTCGCATCATTTATAAAATAATGTGATGTGTCTTGGGTGAGATGAAATACCAGTTCAATTCCCTGTGAAATTTTCAAGTAAATAGTTTTATTATATTTTATTGAAATACAAAAGGCTTACATCCAGCAAATATATTTGGTAATTAATAGTTGAGAGTGATAAATACAGTTGTGAATAATCATAGTTAAAATATACTTTTTAATATTTCTTCTTTATTAATCTGACTAGTGATAACTAGTATGAATTGAAATATGCTAAACACATACAAAAATACATTTGTAATGGAAAAACCCGGAATGCTTTCAGCATTCCTAATGCATTCTTAACTTACATGAGCAGTAGTGAAAAGCTAACATTGACAGGGATGGCTCCCAGTGCCCTGCAAGAAGTATTTTTATAGTAGAGTTTTATTCTTAAGTGTTACTGTGTAAAACCACATCTTAGGTTTCTTCTTTTTCTTTTTTTTTTCCTCCCTAGTTAAATAAACTAAGTAAAAATACTATTTCAGCTGTAGAAACAACCTTATATTCTTGGTGCATTGCCTTCATTTGTACACAATCACCAGTTTTGGTGGTTTTGCAGGCAAATCTGTTTGTGCAGTCCATTGTTTAGAATTCGTAAACAGTTCTCTTGAGCATACATAAGGTAAAGTTCACTCTTTGCTGTGGTAACTGTGGTGTGAAGTAAAAAGAATTGTCACTAAAATCAGCTACTATGCTGAAAACATGCAAGTTTGACACCTGAATGAGGAGCTGTCATCCAGTATAGTAATGAACTTTGTAGCTCAGTTTGAGCTGTAAGTACAACTTCTGGTATGCACCAAGCAGCAAACAGTGCCTCAATATTATACAACACTGGTGCAGCATATAAATATATATATATATGTGTATATATATATATACACGCTCAAGAAAAAGATGTTCAAGGTAAAGTAATCCTCAGATGTAAATCAGGATTGCAGATCCATAGAGCATAAATTACTAAGCCTACAAAGTACTTTATGGTAACCCATTGTCTGCTTGTATTTCTTCTACAAAGACTAGTAGTGGCCTCTCAAATTGATTTGTCTGTGCACTGAGTTCAGAGCGTACCTGCTTATGCATGACTCTGACCTACTTGCTTGTGCATATAAATCTCATGTTCTGAAAAGATGATCCTGCAGGTATTGTGCCTCAGCAAAAGTCTGAAGCCTGAGGATGAGACAGCTTAACTGCCACTAGAAATTAAGCAGTGAAGTGTGTATGTACATATGTATACATTGTGTTAATTAGCAGAAAAATAAGAATCTCATGTTCATAGAAACCATTTAAAAATTAATCCTGTGTCATTTGCAATGTGAGCATTGTAGGGAGAGAATGAAAATGTTCACATAGGCTTTTCATGGGGTTCTGATTTCCATGTTTGCCACTTATATCAATGTGTGTAAGGAAGGTTAATAAAAGGGTATAGAAACACAGTAAAGTTTCATCAACATTTTTATCAGAATGGTTGTGACATGAGATACTGAGAAAAGTAACTTCTCAGCAAAATCTGTTTCTAGCACTCAGCTCTTCAACAGAAACACAGTTAAGATGTATAAGCACTGGCTGCTTAATGCATGCATCTTAACACTGGTGACTTCTTGCAAGGCAAATTTTAGACTTGGTCAACTTGGTCAGGTTGTTTTTCTTTATTAAAATGATTTGTTTACTGGGCACTGATTTTCCAGCCAGGATATGACATCTTTAGGAAACCTTGAATTTTTTTGTATATGCATAATCAAGCTGAAGTCCAGTCCTGAATAATGCAGAACTTCTGTTTTCAATCCCTGTAAGAGAAACTCTCATAAGGCATTTGAAAAGCATTTCTGAATTTCAAAAGGTACTATTTATCTACTGCTAATAGGCAAGAACTCACTAAAATCTGTTGAGATAATTTCCTGTTCTTTGCAAGAAGAACTAAGATAATCCTGAAGTTATTTTACACACTAAGTCACGGAGCTCAAAGTAAAAATTCTGTTTTTCCTCCCTGGTGTAACAATGTTGTGCTTCTGTGTGAAATAAACAAGAACCACCAATATCATTGTAATCTGAAAAGTGTACTTTTTACTGTAAAATAACTAGAATGCAGGGTGCTACAAAAGAAGCCCTATCTAAAGTATCTACAAGATTTCACAGTTACAGCAAACCTGGGATAAGAGAGTCGCTGGGATGTTCAGCTTCCATGCATTAAGTGTAAGAGCAGTGACTGTGCCACTAAACTTCGGAATCTGAGAAGCCTGACTCTTGGGATTCTTGAACAAAGAGTCCAGCACTCCCATCTCTGTTTATGGTATTTTAGGCTTTATTTCCCCTGTGGTTCTGGTAATGAAACTCTAAATCTCTGGTATTGGCAGGGGAGCTCTAACAGGCTATCTTGCGCTGTTGTATTGTTTTAGTCCAAAATGCTGTTTGCTTGATGATCCAAGTGACTGGCATGAAGATGAAATAAACAGCAGTCTTTGTTTTCTCCTCAAATACAATTCCAATCATCTTTATTGGAGGCTGAGAGTGAGTTTTTCAGAGGATCATGCTGTCTGTCAGTTACTGGTTTTGATAAACAATTATGTTGTTTATGTATGTATATGTTTATGTATAATGACTTCTAGGCTTCATTTAAATGACATCAAATGAAGCAGTCTGGTCTTTGTCCATGCCAGTTAGATTCAGTGCTATGAAACAAATTATTCTTCCATTCTCTTATCCAGTGCTCCCATGAGAGCTCTGATGTAAACACTAATTTTGAACTTTATCAATGGAAAAGTGACTCAAACCACCTCATATTTTTCTTTCAAACCCACTTTTATTTTGTGGTTGCCTCACTTCTCACTAAAGGAATTTCCTTAACTAGGTCTTGAGAGGAACTTTCTCAGTATAGTTTTGACAATTTGAACAGGGTCTGGAATGACACAGACCTGGTTTTCTCTCACAGATGTGCCATTTTGTTCCTGTCATGAAACATTTAATGTTTTTGTAAGTAGTAATTTTAAGTATTTCAACTAGTATGAAAGTTTATTGGTCTGCAATTATCCACAGACACATTCCTTTTAAGATGGGTGTAAAATAGTAATTGCAAATGCCTGTGCACTTGTTCGTATCAGCAGTGAAACCAGTTTGTGCTGGAGCTTTTCTGAACTGCTGCTCCCTGCTGACTTGTCAGCGGTATCGCTGCCTTCCCATCCCCCCATTTGTCAGCTCAGTCTGTCACCTCGAGGACCTGAAGAAACCAGACCTGGGCAGGAATCTTCTGTTTGATGAAGATCAGTGAAAATAAATCTTTCTTTATGGTATAATTACTGGTTCTCTATGTACTTAGCAATGTACTGGCTCAAGCCCAAGGTCCACGTGGCCCTGTAAGCTGTCCCCCACAGTATGTCCCTAGTGCCAGGGTCATCCTGTACTGCTTTTTCCCCCAGTAATAATGGTACTAACAGTTCTTTTTGTTCCTCGTTGGGCTGTGATTCAGAAAAATGAAAATGGCAAAGTAAAAGCTTTTTGTCTGCCTTTCAAAAGAGCTTACTCAGATACATCAGAATTAAGAGACAGTCTGGCAGTTTGAGAGAATTTTTTGCCTCAGCTTATCTAATTTTTTTTCCCCCCAAAGATACAAGAGGTTTCAAGTTGCAAAACATTATTTAATGTTTGACAGATGAGCAGAAAGAATTCTGCTCAAGTTAGAATTTCAAGTTGTTCAAACTCTATAAAGCATAAAGAGGCACAAGTTATTTTTGCATTCTCTATGTTGCTTTTTCATTTTAGGTATTCCTTCTTCCTTCATGTGTTTCAGTGACTGCCACATTAGCAAATGAGTATACAGAATGGAACTTTGTTGCATAAATGCACTTAAGGAGGGAGAGGTGGTGTTGTCATATCAAGCATCCAAAGAAAAATAAGATTTTCTTTGTGTGGAATTAGTACAAAGAGGCTTCCTGGTAACACTGACAAACAGGAATCTCAACAGGTTTTTAAAGCTCTTGAAAATAGTTACAAACCTTGGTTTTATCTGGAAGATACTGGAAATGAAGAATTTTGGAGACTAACTTGTCAGTCTTGGCTTTGTAAACTGGTCTGGTGACCTAGGAAAGGAGGAAGGGGAAGGGGAAGACAATAGATTAATTATATAAGTAAATCAGAAAAAGCACTCAGCTAGGATGGACCATCAAAGTCATGCAAGAGAGCTGTAAGAAAAACAGTTCTACAATGTGAAACCTACACAGCCGTAGAAGTGGAAAGCAAATAAATGAGTTAGTCTTTTTAGTTCTGAAATTGCTAAGAGATAAGAATCACATCTGAATTAGTTGTAGAGTTAATATGTGAAGATGGACCTGTTATTTGAGGTGGGGCCACATTTTGAGGGGTAAGAAAAGCATTTCCATGCGTTTTACCTCCAGGCTGAATTGTGTTCTCAAGTTCCTGTAATGCTTCATGATCAGTGATCTCTGAGGAACTGACACAAGCACTTACACTACAAGCCGTGTGACAAAAGCTAGTTATGGGTTCATCATGTTCAAAAGCAGGATTAATCCTTACAGCATTTTCTGGATTGCAGCTGTTGAGAGCAGAACTTCTACAATGCAGAACATTTTTGTTTAGGTAAGATTTTATATTGCCAAAGAAAAATGAAATATTTTAAAATGTGAACAAAAAGATTGTGAGCATCTTACTGCAAATTAGAGTTTCTTTTGCTTTTTCTTCTCAACTTAATCATTAAAATGATGAAAAGAAAACCAAGGCTTAGTAAGCCAAGAGTGAGAGGTTTAAAAATGAAGGGCTGTCTGGGTTCTGGAGCAAACTTTGCACAGCGGTGTCCTTGGTAAAGCTTGTGTCTACGTGCAGGGCATCTGAAATAGGGACAGGAAGAGAAAAATACACAGAACTTGAAGGCAGAAAATACAGAGTACCTCAAATGAAAACAAGGGAAAATCTGCAATTGAACACATTATTCCCAAAACAATTAATGGATATTTGTCTATATGGAATAATGTGATTGATAATCACATAATAAGCTTAGATTCATGGGTGATAAATAAAAAGACACTGATAAATTCTTTGCCAACCTACAAATTGTAAGGAACTTAGGCATTTGGAACATCTCTGACATCTCTTTACAGGTGAAGATGAAATAACCTTTATGATTTAGAACCTTAGCAGTTCAAGTGTGTTCTGGGTTAATGTCTAAACACATTTTTGAAGCCTATATGCTGTTTATTGCTGATGGTAATGTCAAGAGCAAGGTCTGAAATAAGAGGTCTACTGCAAATAGCTCCTTTGCAAATGGCTCCCTCTAAAGCAGGGGAGAAGATTGCCATATTTCGTGAGAACACCGAGGTTCCAGTTATTAGAAAAACTGGTGTGGTTCCGAATAAATTCACAAGCAAAACAAGTGCTTAACTACAGAAAAAAATAGGCCCTTAATTCCTCTCTGCAGGCTGTACAAGTTTTTTTGTTTGTAGCTTGCTATAAATGACAAGTTTCATTTACTATCCTCAATAGTTTTATCATTCCAAATGGTGTTTTGGTTATTCCTGTACATCAATTCAGGGCTTTTCTGAAATGGAAAGGTATTTTATTTGGTGTGTTGGTCTTGTTGACAACGATCTTTTCAGCTCACAGGCTAATTGCTAGTACAAAATCCTGCAGCTGCACTACTGAGACTCCACACATCAGGAATTTAGCAGGAACTGTGGTGAATTCTATTATCATTTTTGTGACGCCCACTGTAAAAAATGAGTTATGGCATTTATGTTGTTTCAGTGAAATTATCATATGAATAATTTGCTCAGTAGTTGTTTTTTGTTTTTTTTTCTTTTTTTTTTTTTTGACCCTAAATACACTAAAAGATGTATGACTAACTTAGTATGTCAACATAAAGAGAGAATAAACAAGTGCAAGAGTTGTAACTTGTCTCTTGCTTATACATGTGGCTGCTCAGCTGCCGTGTGCCAGTTTTTTCTAGAGTTTCACATGCTACTTTGCACAGTCTAGTCTTACAATGAGATGAAACATCAGCTTAACATAATTTCCTATAAAAATCCTTATGGAATGTGTTTGGCATTATGTGGAGCTGCTCATCTTCAAGTCTTTCTCAGAAAGCCCTGAAAGCACCTCAGACTTCATGTGCTTTATTGGGTGGTCTGGAATCAGAATAGTGTTCATAGGTGTGTTTATAAGAATATAGATTTCCTTTTTAATACAACTTAGAAAAAAAAATAAAATTCCTAAGATGCTACTGTGTAATCAATAGCAAAAACGTGTGTTATTTCATTTTTCCAAGATGTATTTGGAAATCTGAGAAGAATGCATGGCTTTGTACATCATCTCTGCCAGTGATGCTGAATTTATAATAAGGTATCTCTAAAAAAATAACTGCATCATGATGTTCTACGTGTACCAACAGATCGAAGTGGAATAGAAGAAATGGCCTGAAGTTGTGTCAGGGGAGGTTCAGATTGGATATTAGGAAGAATTTCTTTACTGAAAGAGTGGTCAGGCACTGAACAGGCTGCTAAGGGAGGTGGTGGAGTCACCAGTCTTGGAGGTATTCAAGAAACATGTCAATGTGGCACTTCAGGACATGCTTTAGTGGGCATGGTGGGTGGTGGTGTGTGATGGGTTTGTTGATTTGTGTTCTGTTTTTTGGGTTTGTTTTGTTGTGGGTGGACTTGGTGATCTTAGAGGTCTTTTCCAACCATAACGATTCTGTGATTCTCTGATTTATCCATAGTGAGACTATTTATACTGAAGAAGGGCACTGCAGTGTAGCTTAGGAGTATCTGAACGTTGAGGCCTTGGCTTATTAGCATTGTTTATGCAGTTGAAAAGTGTATTTGCAGCCCTGCTTGTTCATGCAGCAGCCAAGTCAGGGGTCCATTAACAGAACTCATGTTAAGCACCATGTATTTACCTGCAGACAGCTCCTCTTCCTGGAACTAACTCACATTTCCCACCGTTGACACAAAGATGGGGTTCCAGCTCACACAGGCTCTGACAAGGCAACCCATCTTGGCTTGTGTAACCAGGTTTACAAAGGCAATCAGCTTCCTTTGTCTCCTCGTTAGTTATGCATTCGGAAAGCTCGTCACACGCCATGAATTTGCACGGGTCTGCCTGATCAGCTGTAAAGGATGGATAAATCATTAACTGATGCATTACCCCAAAGTAACTTCGCAGGCTTTGTGGCAGCTAGAGAAAACAATTCACATTCACTGGCCTGCTGCTTGTGCATGTTAAGAGGAGACTATAGCCTGGCATAGACAGACACACATCCTCCTCACTGTAGATGACACAGCAAGCATGCAAGCTTATATTTACTTGTACATTTTTTTTTTACCCCATCACTGTGATTTCATTTTCATCTCACTGACAAGGTTGTTTCACATTTGGATATTTTGATCCTTTTTTTACTTTAAGTGCTAGTTTTATACTTGTGGATACTGTGCTAAAGCCTTGTGTACGTGTAAGAAGTAGTTTTGGCTGTAATAATCTTAAATAATTCATTTAGGGCATGAATGGGGAGAGAATTAGATTATTGAACACTGCACAATAGTAAAATGACTGCAACCTGGAAAACCTGGCACTGTCTAGAGAAAAGACATACTTGCAGGGCTTTTTTGGAAGTTGTGTGTTAAACAGAAAGAGGGGAAATTTAGGTTAGACATCAGGAAGAAATTCTTCACCATGAGGCAGTAAGGCACTGGAATAGGTTGCCCAGAGAGGCTCTGGATGCCCTCTCCCTGGACATGTTTAAGGCCAGGTTGGATGAGGCTTGTGCAGCCTGGTCTATTGTGATGTGTCCCTGCTCATAGCAGGGAGGTTGGAACCTGGTGATCTTTAAGGTCCTTTCCAACGTGATTGGTTTTGGTTTGGTTGGTTGGTGGGGTTTCTATCTATCTATTTATTTATTTATTTATATTAGTAAGTGATGCTTCTATGAAGTTACAGGGAAATGAGTCTATTCATGTTCACTGGAAGGCTCAAATCAGAGATAGATTAAACTGATAACTTCACCTGTCACACACGTCTACTCCATTCCTACTCTGATTCTATCTAGAAATGACAAAAAAGACCTAAACGGAGTCTCTTATCCCAGTGCTCAGCCCGGCTGTGTGCTGACAGGGTGGTGAGGGGAGGGACTGCACCCACCAATTTTGTCTGGTGGAGACAGTTTCCTGCATCCTATGGGGAAAAGCCCTTAGACAGAAGGCAAAAGATGAGAAGCAGACCAGGGATACAAACTCTGATCTTGCCACCAAACACTTTCAATGAGATGTGGGAATCCAGAAAGGAAAAAATACAAGAGTGAGGAAGAAAGCCAGTCCCTTTTAGTTATGTGGGCTTAACATTTTTCCAGAAGGAAAATCTGTAGTTTAAAAAGAAAATTTGTACTGGATATTGCAGCTATCTCCTGTAGGTACAATCTGGGCTGAGAATTTTCTTCCAGAGCCACTTCATGGCCCTAGATGCTTCATAATACTAATTTCAATGAGATGGGAATCACACCCTTTATAGCAGTACTGGGAATCTCAGGCACACATTAGGATATGCTTAACTGGTAGAAATTAATCCAGAAGAGCTTTTAACCCCTCTATAATTCCTTGTCTAGTTCATTTGCTCTGTGATAGGGCAAAGGGCAATGGATGCAAACCAGAGCACAGAAGTTCTACCTCAACATGAGGAAAAACTTCTTTACTGTGAGGGTTACAGAGCCCTGGAACAGGCTGCCCAGAGAGGTTGTGGAGTCTCCTCTGGAGACTTTCAAGACCCGTCTGGATGCATTTCTGTGTGACCTGCTCTGGCATGGGGGTTGGACTCCATGATCTCCAGAGGTGTCTTCCAACCTCTAACATCTTGTGATTCTGTGATTTTTTAATATATTTTTTTTTTTACTTTAAGAGTAGTGAGCTTTAGGGTGCTCAGTTTCCCTTTGATATTTGCAATGTGGATGTTAATTTGGGTTCTACTTTGTTCCTGGACTGTAAATGTATGTCCATGTGAACTCTAACAATGAGCATCAGAGCAAGGCAACTATTGTCAGGCAAGCTCTTACATGAAAAACAAATCAAAACAGAATTCCAGGTATTTTTCTCTGGTCATTGATATTACTGATTTGGAATTACAAATTTTAGTCTCTAATGAAACAAAAAACAAGTGGCAAATCAAAAGGGGATATTAGTTCTTACAGATTCCTTTCTTACCCCACACAGAATTGCACTCTAAGCAAGAACATAACACTTCTGAAGGAAAAAATGGTTAATGAAAGAGTTTGTGTGATTGACTAATTGATTATAACAGCAACAGCTGCATGGCTCTGTGTCTTCTAAAAGTCTATCCCCAGTTTTGATGGTCACAATTTACCTTCATAATAGTTGAAACAAAGGTTTATGCTACTACAAAGGAGGTGCAGGCTCTGCCTAAGGGCTTTGTCGAGCAGCCCTGCAGTTTTCAGAAGCTGAAAGGTCTCAGGGCATTTCTGTTTGACAAGTAAAGCTCAGCATGAGCATTTTGCTGGGTTAGAGGATCCTTTTTCTAGGTAATATTTCATTTTCCTTAGCAAAGTGTTGGGCTATGTACCTGCCTCAGTTTGTCATCTTTCCAGTATTCAATTAGGTTAGATTAAAACAAAAAACCACCACAATAAAACAAAAAACCATAACAGAAAAACCCCATACCACCAATAAACAAAACCAAAAAGAAAGCAGCAAACCAAACAAAAACCAAAAAACCAAAACCAAACCAAAAAAGAAACCCAACCAAAAAAAACCACAAAAGCATACGGGCATTTAAAAAAGCCACCTCTTTAATTCTTCGTGGTATTATTTATGACTGACAGTCGGCCCCCTCTGCAGCTGCTGGGTCTTGGTACATATTTTGGACTGTCAGCTCCCAGCAGTGTTTCAGTGTGGTGTAACGTTACTGCCACTAGATGGCTCTTACTTTCACAACACATGGGAACTTGGTTAAATTACCTTAATTTACTAAACTTGTTGGGGCTTGTTTGTATGTTGGGTTTTTTTCTGAAGTGAAAAGACAGTAGGGCTTTGAAAGAGCTGTAGAGATATGGCTAAGCTCTTGAAGCAAGTCCAGAGCAGGACCGTGAAGGTGATCCGAGGGCTGGAGCACCTCTGCTATGAAGACAGGCTGAGAGAGCTGGAGCTGTCAAGCCTGGAGAAGAGGAGGCTCTGGGGAGAACTTACAGCAGCCTTTCAGTACCTGAAGGGGCTACAGGAAAGCTGGGGAGGGGCTTTTTACCAGAGAATGTAGTGATAGGATGAGGGAGAATGGCTTTAAACTGGAAAAGGGGGATATTTAGGTTAGATGTCAGGAAGAAATAATTTCCTGTGAGGGTGGTGAGACACTGGAACTGTCCAGAGAAGTTGTGGCTGCCCCATCCCTGGCAGTGTTCAAGGCCAGGCTGGATGGGGCTTTGAGCAACCTAGTCTAGTGGGAGGTGTCCCTGCCCATGCAGGGGGCTGGGAACCAGAAGGTCTTTAAGATCCCTTCCAACCTAAACCACTCTGTGTTATATACTGGCTCTATACTGGCTTTCTAGACATAGTTTCTTCTATGTTTACATTTTACTGCTGCTCATAAGCCTTGACAGAACAGCTCTCTCAGCAAACTCATTCTGATATGCCTTTCTTGAATTAATACTGAAATATCACATCAGTAAAACAACTGATACAGATGAAGATGAAATATTTTTAATATTAGAAACACAGAAGTGTTTGCATTTTAGTGACTTGTTCATTTTAATTTTTATTTAGTGGAAGTTTACTACTGAAGCAGGGAGTGGGCGGGACCCCAAAGTTTACTCTTTCTAGAGAACTCGTTTGTTACTTTATTAAGCAAAACACCATTTTACCACTGCAGTGTTTGAAGTTTAAATGCTGTGATTTTCTTAACTTTCTTTACCACACACGACTTATGCTCTTAGTGGCCACAAGGATACAGAAAATGAAAACACATTAGAAACTTTCTCCACGGATTATAAAAGTGTTTTTGCGTGTGTGTGTTGGGGGGGGTGGGGGGGTGGTGGTTTTTTGTGTTTGTTTTTGTTTTGTTCTGGAAGTGTCAGAGATCTGTATGTAAGAAGACAGCTTAACCAAAAGTGCTAAAGACATCTGCATGCTAAGGCATTGGCATTGTACAGCTCCATGCCAAGGAAATTAAATTCAGCCCTGAAATAATTACCAGAACCTGAAAATAGATCCAGGTTTTTATTTTATAAAACAATGTAGTTTTTGAAAACATTAAGCTTCCAACAATACACTAGTGTCTGGATATGTTGTTACTGACTTTTTACTGTTTAACAAAGATTACAGACTTATGTGAAAGCCATTAAATCAGGAGGGATTCTGGAATTAGAAATCTATGGAGGGCTACATATAGTAATGCTCGGGTCAGTGATTATCTATAGAATCCAATTATACCTAGAAATTATCTCCTTCTGTCTTTACCTCTATGGCCCTTTAAAAATAGATTCAATGATGCTCTGAACTATGCTTTACTTACAACTTTGCAAAAATAATCAGAAATTATGTTTACATATGAAGTTGCAATATTTGCATAAATCAGTCCTGTAAACTGCACATAAACATTCTTCGTACCTGTCTTCACCCAGGCCTTATTCTAGAGCATTTTTAGTTTCTTATATTTGGCTCTGAAGAGCAGCTGGTGTACACACAGAAACCCACACCCCCACCCAGATGTCCGCAGGTAATTTGCAACATTTTGGATTTTCTCATTACTCCTGATCACTGGGAGGTTATTGCTAATATAGTTAATTCCAAACCAGTAATACTTCTGAAGCTGTAACAATCTGGAAAAGATTATTTGCTTGGTTTTGATTTTCCACATAGATTGTTAATGCAATCTTACCTGGCTCAATATCCAGGGAGTAGCTGTCAATCTCCAAATTGAGGTGTTGGGCTGCAGCATCACAGAATTCTTCCAAAACACAGTGTACTGCTTCTGTGATATTGTATGGCACTGTCCTGGCAAATTTCATTTTGCTATTCACTATCAGACTTCCATTCCTGAAGTTAAGTATTTCCAGGTGCTTGAAACCCGTAAGGTTGGACTGCAGGTATGGAAGTAGCTGCAAACAGAAAGTTGCCTTTATTTTAACTTGCTGTCAATGTCTACCTGCTATTAATTCTCTTACAGTCACTTTTCATTATCAAGTACACACATCTCACACTTATTTCTCTGAATTCAATACAATTGCTAAACTTCACCACCAAATTAACTTTTCTATTTAGCACTATCTTCTTCTGGAATTTTACATCTTTCTCAATAATGTATTGAGATTGATGGGCAGCAATTTCCTCTATAATGAAATGCACAGCAATTGGGGGGTTTATTCATCTGGAAGAAAAAAAATCTCTTCATTCAAAAGCCAGCTTTAATTATTTTCAAACATTCAATCCAGGTAGTTTAGAGCATAATATAATAGGCATGTTACTGAGCTGCCCTGCTGCCCTATTGTACCCATAGAGAAAATCCATACCTAATCACATTCCCCCTGCTAAGCTATGATGTATTTTTAAAGGCCTATTTTAAAATCCAGCATGTAGACACAAGCCTTAGGTGTAATCAGCACTGCTACACTGTTGATGTGAATCTAGGAAAAAGCCAAACAAATTACATGCCAAGCATATACCTGGAGTCTCTTGAACAACTGAAAACTTTCATCAGTGACTTAATAAAAATCTTCATGCCCTGACAGCATTCCAGGCTTATGGGTACTTTAAAAATACAGCTTATGAGCCCTATTTATAGTAGGGTCTGATATTGTTAAAATACTGTGGTCTTCAGTGGAGTTCTTTAAACTGTGCCCAACTACTGTATATGTTGTTCAAGTTGATTCTCACCCACCAATTGCATGAACTGTTGTTCTAGAGCTTTGTATTCTGGCGAACTCCTATTGAAGAGGTCATCAGAAAAGTGCATGTTGGTGACCCTCAGGCTGAAGAAAACCACTAACTCTTTGCCTTTGGCTGCAGTTGTCATGGAGCTGGTAGTTACATACTTCAGTGTGGGAACTGGGGTGGCTTTTGCAGGCTCGGTGGTCAGCACTGAGATATAACCACTGCCATGCTCCACTTCATCAAGTGCTGCTGTGCTCATCACATCGATGTCATCTAACTCAGCAGCAATGTCCTGCACTCCTGCCCCAGTGCCCTCAGGAGGAACACTCTCAGATGCTGGCACAGGGGAGTCTGGTACTTCAAGGGACTGTTGGATGATCTCGGGCTGGCTGTCTGGTGGGCTGGTTGCTGCAGGCAGTGGGGCTGAAGGTAATGCATCTGTGAGGATAACTTCAGGCTGCATGGTGGAGAGGTGACTTGAACCAATAAAGAAAGGCAACGTTTTGTAAATGCTGGCTGTCACTAAAATGTCATCGCCTGATGATTCTGGTTCATCCGTGATCTTAACTGCTGCAGAAAAACAGGGGAAAAACAAAGAGTTATTTTGAAAGGCAAGCATAACAAACATGGAAACAGGACAAAAAAATCTTATTTTCATCCTTAAAGAACAACTGCTGGAATAAAACACTTCATCCATGTACTTAAGTAATATGATTTCTGTGGGTGCTGTGTTTAAATAATAATTACACTTGGTAAGTATTTCAAGAGCCATTTGAAAGCGCATTCTAGTTTTGAAGGTACATAACTACCCTGACAGTTTTTTATTGACTGAAAAAGCAGATCACATCTTTGAGCCACCTGCTGAGGTCAGTTGCATACGGGAGTCATTCTGATTCCCTCTGTGAGAAGGCAAAGCTGTTATTTACCAGTCATTGTAACATATGGTTAAGAAAAACAGTACAGCCTCTTCAGATGCAAAGATGCAAATCAACTGTGTTGATTTACCTAAAAGACAGTAGCACCAGTGAAAACAAATTCAGATCCTAAGCCATCATCTGCTACACCTGAAAGGAGTCATTTGACCCAGAGACTCTCTGAACGTGGCTTGCAGCTCCTTGGCCACAAGGACTTCACTGGCAATTATGGTCTCCAAGCAACAGACATCAACCCAAGCTGAAAATCTTGCCCTTTTCCAGTCACACATTTATGTGGGCTCTTCACATGGGACATCCCCCTGCAGACAAAATCACTTAACAGCTGATAGGAAAGCAGTTTTCTCCAATTGATGACTCTTCCGTTCCCCAAATGATCATAGAATCATAAAGCTTGGAAAGGATGTTTGAAGGTCATCGAGCCATATCCCCCTGATCCTTAAGGTCCTTTCTGACCCAAACCATTCTATGTTTCTAGGAATTTCCTCCAAGTGGCCAATAAAAGTACTAAAGGAGAGCAAATTTTTGCATCGGGAGTGACCTTGACTGGAGGAGACGGCAGCTATCCTGTCCATGACATAGGAGTTGCACAAGGATGTTTTTTGTATCCCTTTCCATTTCCTTGCTTCTAAGTGAAGGAGGCTCAGTCATCTGCTTCATGTGTTGCTGTTTTTAGGAATAAATGTATATTAAAAAAAGAAAAAAAGCTTAATACAAGACAGCTGTCTGTTTTCTTGACACTGTTAAATTACAGCACATATTAGCTCTTTGCTCCCTCCCTGAAGATGCAATGTCTTGGTCTAATGTAGATTATTTTCTGCATAGTTACACATAGCCCCATTCTGCTAAACTGAATTTTTGCAAAAGGCAGACACTCACTCCATTGTGTCCTGGTTCAACACTGGCAGCAGAGCAGTGTGAAAGGCCAGTGAGATTTACTCTGGAATACCAGTAACCTCCTGTTACTGGAGTGTTCTTCCTCCCACCCTCAGTTCTAAGGTTTTCTATTTGTTCCAAGTGTTTCACAGGCCTCAGATAAGGGAAGAATCAGGGTTTTTTTTTGTTCAGCAGTGAACATCTAGAAAAAATTTCCAAAAATAATCTGGATACTCTAAAGCAAAACTCTGGAAGGATCATTTCTGCATCTGCTTCTATTTATGCAGGCACTACATCAGTAACGAGTGCAAATGTTATTCTGTTACAAATAAACCTGTCTGAAAGCACAATGTCTTTTAAGACTGTTTTTAACGAGTAACAGAAGCAAGGTGCTGAGGAACACCAGGGACATTCTTGCTAGAGCAGAGTTTATCACAGCAGCAGTGCAGGGATAACCAGGGAAAGACATTTTACCCATTGGCCCTTTGGATGCACAAAATCTTGCAAGTTTGCAAAGCAACTGCCTGCAAGATGCTCCCCTTCTTTTGCAGACCAGGTTATTAGCTACTGCTACATGTTCCTGCAGGATTTCCCTGTTATCTTGCAGCTCACATCATCAAAGGCAGTTCTCAAACTGTCCTGGACAGCTACTGCTGATGGACAAACATTTTGTTACACTTTGGCAAATAGGAACAAATCAGCAGGAGCTCTCTGCTGCTATGGTTTTCTGGAGACCAGGTTTTAGGGGAGGCACTGGCAAGGCAGTGGCATGCCACAGGGAGTGCCTGTTTTGCCCTTAACACTGGCTGGCTGATGGTAAGTTACTGAAGATAGCTCAGCTCTATCAATATTTAGTATCCCTTTCCCATATTGCACAAGGCAAATTTCTACAGTTAATTTTGTTGCCTTCATCTGCATGCATGAAAGCATTTTCCTTCAAGTGTCTCATTTTAACTGGCAGAATATTTGCAAACCAGAAGGATCTAAATGAAAAAAAAAAAAAATCCAACTTGGTAAGAGACTTTTTTTCACCTATTTTGGGTTTGATACTTAGGGTCCAGTTCTAATCCCATATTAATCAGCAATGAACTCACTGAAATCAATGGAACTGTGGTAGCATAAAACTTGAGCAAATGAGATCAGGATATTTGGATTTGCCCTGAGGATCAGGAGTGCCCAGTTCTATGACCTTTAGGGGAAAAATTTTCTTCCAGATTATAAGTAGTTCCTCACCTTCCACATGATGAGCAGCTCCCAGCTCCCTCCCACATTCCCAGTGGCTGCGCATGACCAAAGTGTACAAAATAACAATCAAGCTTAGAATACTGGTGATTCCAGAAAATGCTCTGGAACACACTGCTCGTATGAAGCATCTGTGTCGGATGGGCTGCAGAACATGACCAAGTGCTGCAGAACAAGACCAAGTGCTGCAGTCTCCTTTACTACAAGGCCAGACTGTGGTGATCTGGAAACACAACAAACACCACAAAGGGTGCAGCAAATCCCTGTATAGACGAGCACAGTTATGCAGTCTCCTTTTATTTTTTTTCTGATACATAATTTGCACTGCTGACAGTATAATACAAAGGCTACAGTCTTAATCTCTCCACTCCTAGAGTAGCCAAAAGAGACTAGCAAAGTGCTGTGAGGAACCTGGGGTTTTGCATGCTGCATGTAACACCAAATGCTGCACCACGGCTTCATGCCCTCACACTTCATTGAGAACTTGAGATGTTTTACTCTGGTCTTGTCCTCCTGTTTCTTGTGTAATCAAGGATAAGGACAGATTAGAAAAACAAAGCCTAGTGATCTATGTTTACAAAGCTCTTGCTGTTACTTGTTATGCTAATAAGAGTGAGAGTCACTTATTAGTTAAGGGAACTCAGAACAGATTTCTTAGCATTAGTGCTTGAAGCATTAATGCAGGATGATCTACTGATGGGATGAACCTGCAGCTCCACAGAGCAACCTTCTCTCAGCATGGCAACATGAGATCATGATGCTATCTGTTAGGCAGATCATATTTTAGAAAGAGGTTACTACAAGAGAAATAAGTACTGAAATAGCCTGAAATTGCAGCAGGTTTGAAGCAAAATAACCATATATATATTTAAGCATTTGGCATATAGGTTTGTATATGCGTTTATACATATATAGTAAATACATAAAGGTCTTCTGGCATCCTCTCATTAGAAGTAAAGTAACTTAAAAGAACTTGAGGGCATATGAAGATGATCTGTGTGCATGTATGACCTGTTTTCATAAAGGGTCGATTCTTATCACTCACTCTCTCTCCAGTGGAGATGGACAGTGACTGATCACAGAGGTGTTTAGGCCCTTGCAATCTGAAAGTAATAAAACTAAAAGGCTGCTGAGTCCTTCCTGAAGCACAACACTTGCCACACACCCAAGGGTTACTGACCCCTTCTGTTGGTTGCACTTTGTCTAACTTGTTACTGCTGCAAGACTCGCCTACACAAGTGATGGTGAGATGGGCAGCAAAAAGTTTTGCACCTGGTTTTGCCAAGACCATGTCTCCATGAGGCTTTGATAAAAATCAGTCCTAAAGAGTTAAAAACTATGGATGAATCAAAGAAGACCCCAGACATTTGAAATTAGAGGAAAAAAAAAATAGAAAAAAAAAAGATACTTTGCATTTTAAATATTTGGTTTATATATGAAACAAATATGTATTGTTCTTCAGACTAAATTTAAGAAAGAATTTTTTTCTTATGAGGGTGCTGGATCCCTGGAACAGGTTGTCCAAAGGAGTGGTAGATGCCACATCTCTGGAACAACCTGGTCTGGGTGGAGATGTTTCTGCTCATGGCACAGGGGGTTGGACCAGGTGACCCTTAAAGGTCCCTTCCAGCCCAAATTATTCTAAGATTCTACCATTCTATATGCACACACATATATATAATTTTGATATAGAACACAAAATACACTTAAACTCGTTCATCAGAAAGCTGTTATTTATAAAACTTTACTCAGTTTGACTTGCAGATCAGATTTTTTACTGCAGAAGGCTAGAAAAAACACAGGCAATTATTTTATGAAACCTCTAAAAGTAAAACCACTGAAGATTTAGATATTCTTAATCTCATCATATTTCATGTCAGCATACACTTTTGTCTACAACACTATCATTCAGCTGTAGGGAATGCACAGAGAACACAAAATAAGATTCTGCATTCAAATATACCCCCAGAGTAACCATCTTGAAGGTTAAACAATGGTATAGAATTAAAAACTGCTGTCAGCAATAAAAAGCACAGCTCTAACTCTCTGGCACCACTTACCCTCCCACAAAGATGTTCACTGAACTCCCCAGATGTTTTTTTGTTGCATTACATGGACAAGGTGAGACAATATTGTACTGAAGAGAGTTTTATATCTAAAATTAAACTGCTGTTGGCAAAGATGTGTAAACACTAAATTAAGAGGCAATTTCCTGGGTGCATTTCTATATTAAATCTTTGTAAAAGAGTGCTGCACAGAGGCTGAGGGAGTGAAATCCATAGGCTTGACTTATCAGAAAAAATCAACTGCCATTTCAACAACTGTATTTTACGTATCTAATTAGTTGGATTTTTTTCTTTCTTTCTTTCCTTTTCCTTTTTAGTAAGGAAAGCCTTCCCAATTGATTGACCAAGAATAAGAAATTATTGTTTGGGAAAAGTCAAAATGTCATGAGACATTTTTCTAGTGGGTTTGCATTAATAAGCAGGCTCAGAAGTGCATACATGAAGAGGTCCTGGC